ATGAAAAGAAACATACGGCTCCTTCCCTGTAAGGGACCAGGGCCATTGCTGGCTCTTACCATAGCGAGGGGAGCACAGGGCTCCTGAAGTGTGGACGGGGTAAGAGGTCTGCATAGTGAGGCAGCTCTGTTTGATCAGGAGCCAGTGGGTGTGAGGTGAGACGGTGCTGAGGTGAGGTGGGGCCCTTCTTCAAGGATATGGGAAGCCTGGTGAGGCAGGGCGGGCTGTGGCTCACCGTTCACATGTGCACACACATAGGAATGCGGGATACATGGGCCCAGATGCTCACGTGTGAGTGTCTGCGAGCACACGTGCACACCTAGGCACACAAGCACACGGCGGGAGGCACAGGCACCCCCACAGCCTACAGCCCTACACTGAGGGGACTGTGGCACACAGACCCGACTGTGGGCTGCACCCAGGCGCATTTCCAGGGCCCACAGCACCCCAGGGACGGGCACCTCGCGCCTCGCCGCAGATCCCAGGCTGGCTGCTGACTGATGCTGCCTCCCTCCCCTGCCGCTCCCTCTCTTCAGTGATAGAATGCTTTGCTGACTTTTTAATATGGTGGAATCTACATAAACATAAAATGAATCCATTAAAGTGCACGACTTAGTGGTATTTAGGATGCTCGGGTGGTGAAATCTTTCAGCGTCTGCCACCTCAGAACCATGTACCCATTAAGCAAGCGCTGCCCACAGCCTCGCCTGCCCTGCAGCCCCCATCGGCTTCCTGCCAGCATGGTTTAGGTGTTCTAAATGCTTCCCAGAGTGGAAGCAGGCAGGCTGCAGCCTCGCAGAGTCTTTCCAGTCATTCACACCACAGGCCATGTTGGGCTTCCTTCCTTTTCTTGACGGTGTAATACTCTGGTGTGTGGGGATACGTGTTTGTGGGCCACTCTCCCGCTGGTGGGCATTTGGGCTGCTTCCCTTTAACTCTTGTAGGAACGATGCCGTATGCGGCATCACTGGTATGCGGGCATCTTTCTGAGTTCCTTGCTTTCCATTTTCTGGAGTATAAAGCCAGATGTGGGACTGCGGGTGACATGGCAATTTTGTGTGACTTTGAGGGGCTGGAAAAATACTTTCGCCTCTTTTCATTGGAAAGTTTTTAGAATTATGTGAAACACAAATACAGAAAGCAGATGATGTTAAGGAATTACCAATGTGCTATCCAATTATAACCGATGTTACTGTATCACGCACAATTCAGGAATTATTACAGTGAGTGCCCGAAGTCGCCCCCCACACTGAGACTGTCGCCACTGTACCAGGATGGCGCCTTCGCTCGCACAGCTGCACAGAGGCTTCTGCGTTTCAAGGTGAAGGTGGCTTTCCCATGAGGCCAAATGGCTGCTCTGTGACAGCAGTCTGGGTTGCGTTGGGTCCTTGCTCTCTTGGCTGTGCTCGAAGCAGACGGGCTGGCCCCAGTCTGAAGGGAAACTAAAACAGGCATTACGTTGTCTGATGCCTCTTAAGGCATCTGCGATTGCAATGATGCTATGCCTTTGCTCCTCCATTCATGAAATCTAGGGCGAGGATTTAGCTCTGTGGCACCGTGCCTGCCTCCCAAACACAAGTTCCTGAGTTTGATCCCCAGCACCCCCCACCCAAAAAATTATGAAATCTAAGCAAAAGTTTCAGAAGCTTCCCCGGGTATAGATGGAATCTCTCACGTCATCTGGTCACCAATTCAGCAATGAAGATGAAGTCACTGTGTGCTTTTGTAGTAGCAACACGCATGGCCCCAAAGTGTGGCTGGAAAGAAGTTGATTTAAAGTGTTTTTAGCACAAAAATATCAGCATGTGTGGTAATGCATGATAATGCGTCAATGGATGTGCCCATTTCAGAGCATGACCAAGGTACAGCCGGTGTCCTCGGCACCTCCACCTGAGCTCTCTGCTCAGAAGCCCGGAGCCCAGGGCACCATGGTATGAATCATCCCCACCGCTCTGCAGCTCTGGGGCGCTCAGTGGTGCCCCAGGTGCTCTTCAGCCTCCCCGGGGGAGTTTACATTGCAGGGCAACAGGGGGAGCCCAGAGCTGGCGCCTGTCAGCAAGTGAACGTCCAGCTATGCTCTCTGGATGCAGGCCTCCACGGTGCTGGCTCACAGAGGATTCCCTGCCCTTCCCGAAACGGGTCCACGTCTGTATGTGTTTGTGCTCAGAATTATGCAGTGACGGAAAGTATAAAAATCCACGCCTGGACGTGTCAAAAACAAATGTTCATTTTGTTGGTATCAGCACCACCACTCCCGAGGTAGCAGGGTCAGCGGCTGCTGGCTGGGGAAGGCATTTGGTATACAGCCTCTATGACACACAAGGTGCCTGGACAGGGCCGCAAGGTAGCCAGGGAGAGGGAAGGCAGGTGGGTGCGTGTGAAGATGCGCTGGCCCCAAGGTCTCCAGAAGCTGACGAAGGTGGGACATGGCCTCCTGGGGCCTGGCAGCACCGACTCCAGTCCCCGGATTCTAACCCACAGAACCGGAAGAGAGCAATCTCTATCATGTGGATGATCCAGCAGGGAGGGGATGCAGATCCTTCCAGGTGGCTGTCAGAGGGGTGGCTTGGAGTATCTGGGAAATGGCATCCGCCCCCTGCAGCCTCTGGCTACCCCGTCCTGGCAACCCTCGGTCCCCTCTGCCATCTGCTCTTTGTCCACGTGTCTGGCCCTGGTCACACTGCATGGATTAAGGCCATAACCTAATCCCGTAGCCTGAGCTTCCCTCAGGTCTGCAGTGGCCTCTCCCGAGGGCGTCCACTTGCCAGGCTGGGGAGTGTGGTAAGCAGGGGCGGGCGGCAGCACTCCACCGAACTCAGGCTGCTCGTCTGGAGAAAGAAGGCTGCCTTGCCCTCCGGCGTCCCTTCTCTAACCCGTCAGTGGAGGTGGAGCAGCATGGCCCCAGCTCTCTGCAATCCCTCCACCCCCTAAGGACCCGTATAGGGCTCCACCTGCTCAGCAGCACACATGACCCATGCAGAGCACGCTCTGGTCGGGAGACCCAGCTGCCCACAGGTGACTGCAGGCACCTGTGGTCGGGGCTTTGTAGAAATCAGTGACTCAGGGCAGGGAGCCCGGGGAAAGGCAAGCACATAGAATAGTCCGTGGTGTTCTCAGGCAGGATCTCACCAAGCCACCCACCGCCCACTCCGCTCTCAGTGCCATCATGCTGGGGCCCCGGCCACTGGAAAGCAGTGGCTCAGGAGAGGCGGGACTCTCTTTTGGGCTGGAGTCAGGCCCAGCAGCTCGGGTGGAGCAGGAAGGGACACCGTTGTGGCACCAGGCCAGCCTCCTCCCCAAACAGCATCAGCACATCCTGAGCACTGGCCAGTGCATTTCCCACACACTGTTCACCATTCACTGTTCTCCCATTACTCTTCTACTGTTTTCTTTTCATGTATTTAACTCAATACTTCACTTCTTACATGTGATTTCCCTTAAAAGACCCTATTCTTGAGAAAAAAAGAGAAGAACATTTTAACATGCAATAAAGCAACTTTGTCCTACTTGCAAATGCCCATGAAATGCTTGGTCGGTTTAAGAACTGGGTCGTTCTGTGGTCCACAGCGACTTCACATTACTCCAGCTCACTCTTCAGTGCGCTGCGTCTCCAAATGACGGGGGCATGCGCTGGTGCTGGTGGGACTCCGGCCGTGCTGGGGTCCCTCCAGGTGCCACCTGGGGAGTCAGCAGGCGCAGGGAGCGGTGGGCACGAATGTACCCACACTGCCCCACCGAGAAAGGACCTGCGGCCCTGGTGGGAGGCGAGCAGCGGGACCTCCTAGCAAGCTACGAGCAGGACCTAGGGGCAGAGCCTGTACCTCTGCCTGACCACACACCCGATGCCTGTTCAAAGCCAGGAGGACCAGGCTTGCTGCTGCGGGACTGGGTGCGCGCAACGCCTGGCAGCCTCACCTCCAGCCAACCCAACTGGCTTGAATGGCGCCTTGGGACTGGTAGGCTCACTTCTGGGTGCGTCTGGGTCCAGGCTGGCGCTGTTCAGCTCTGCTTCCGGCCCTTGTGAACTAAGCAGCTTCGGTCCCCCATGCCCTTCCGCCACGATGCCTCCGAAACCCTCCCATAAATTGTGGGTGTTAGGTTGTGGCCCAGCAGTGGAAGCGCCCTCTCAGCTGCACTCCTGACACTGAGCAAACAAAACTGCGCCCAAGTGCCTCCCGTAGGCCAGCTGATCCGGACACCTCCAGAGCAGCACGCCAGGCCCCTGGCTGAATCACTGGGCACACCTGGCCACCAGTCCTCAGCTGGAAACAGAAGGCCGGCTGAGAAAAACACATGTCTCACTGGGACACCAGTGTGAAGGGTGCACAGGCCTGTGCTGCTTGTCAGGTGCCAGTGAGTGTCCTGTCACTCGGCGTGACAAGAGCAACCAGCACAAGCTGGGACCCGCAGGCCTCCAGCTATGAATGGGACGTACACGCTCTGGACTGCACTGGACTCACTGGCCCCCAGGAAGCAACTGCAGGACAGGGCCCAGTGTCTGGGCGCACCCCTCCCTGGAGGCTGTGGGTGGTTGGTCTCCACCTTCAGCCGCTTACCTCCCTTCTGTCCTGGCAAGCAGGAGCCTGGAGGCATCCTGCTGAGGGAAGAGGCACTGGTGGCAGGAAGGGCGTCTGGGCATACCTCCTGCTGCCAGGGCTCCGGCGGACTCTTGTGGATTGTGACACCCTCACAGGGTGAGCCATGTGGGCCACAAGTGTCAGAGACACCGCACACACAGCTTGCAACCCAGAGTGGCGCAATCCTCAGCGCCCTTCTACCTCACGAGTGAGCTGAAGCCTCTTGGTGGCACCAGAGCGTCACATTTGCCCACCTGCCGAGAGTCCTGGGATGTCACCGCAGGTGAGCAAAGTGGCACAGGGTGGCTGCAGAACCAGCCCAAGTGCCCAGGGTGGTGCCAGGGTGGACCTACACCCCACCTCCCGCCCAGAACCTGCCACCCAGGACGAGTCAAGGCTGAGCCAACGGCAGATATGGACAGGTCACGTTTGAGATGCTTTTATATTAAAAGTATACCAAAAATACAGCAACAAACAGAATAGTTACAAACTCCACACCCAACAGGTCAGTGACCACACCAGCCATGGCACGCTCACAGGTCACACCTTCTGCTACTCCCACGGTGCAGTGTGGTTCCCAGGTGGCCTGGCCTCACTTGCTGCTGCCCACGGAACTGCAGACAGCACTGAAGAGGCTCAGGTGCGACACCCTGGGCTGCTGTGGGCGGACAGAGGACAGGCGTCCCGAGCAGTCAGTGCTGTAGTCCCCACTCATGAAGAGAAACCCATTCAAGTCTCAGAAACAAGCAGGAGACAAGATACAGCGCTAGTGAGCCACAGACCCAGACCCTGGTAGCCATGGCAAGGTCTGTGGCTGCCAAAGGAAGCGTGCAGGTGACCCTTCCCGGAGTACACAGCACTGAACCCGCCCACCTCTGCCCAGAGACCCTCCCTGTCCTCGACACCAGTCAGCACCGCGGACGTCTTTGGGGAGGCATCGGAGTACACACCCGCCTGTGGCTTCTTCGAAGAGGAGACCGCGACAGAAGCGGAAGCTCAGGCTTTGCGTGTGCTGTGGAGGCCCCAGCGAGGGGCTCCCCATCTGCTGTGGGCCGGAGCCCAGGCAGGAGCCCAGGCATTCCGGTCATCAGGTCCTCGCACTGGGGGGCACTCCGTCCCCTCGCACCCGGGGCCGGTCGTATCGCACAGAAACGATGAGGAAAAGCAGGAGGGTGGCCCCTTGCACGGCGGCCAGCAGGAAGAAGTAGTAGTTGAGGTGGCAGCCATTGATGTTACCTGGGGAGCAGGAAGAGAGGTGAGGCCGCACCCTGCGTACCGCCAGCAGTGTCACCCCTAACAGTGCACTCCACCGGAGGCTAGCGCTCACCCTGCTGGGAGGAGAGGCAGAGACAGGCACAGGAGGACTCCCGACTATCCAGACTCCGTGCTCTATAAAAACACTGATGTCAGGAGAAAAGTAAACAGTGTAACAGTACTGTGCGGCCTCGTCCTTAGGACTTCAATCTGTAGCTACACAGTGACTCCCAGGTGCCCCAGGTGCCGGCCTTCCTGCGGGAGTGCTGGCAGGAGCGGTGGGAGGGCAGTGGGCCCCGTCCCACTCTTCCAGGCTCACAGCACTAACCACACACTTGCTCCTGCCCCGAGGGTGCAGGCAGATCCTGCTCTGAAAACCGACAGCAAGCAAAGCTGCGAACAGAGGGCCACCGGGCCACTGTGCTGGCAGGACGGGGAGGAGACAAAGTCACTGGGAGAGGACGCCAGCAAAAGGCCACAGTTCCCCTGACACCTGTGACACAGAACCTGCATTCTGAGAGCTGGGGCCAGGAGCCTCCGCCGCGTTGTCCCGCATGCTTGATCCCTGGCTCCGGGCCCCGGGAGCCAGCAGCCCTCACCTGGGCTGCCCACTACGCACAGGGCAGTGGCCACCATGGCCCAGATCTGCGCTCTCCTCTCCCAAGCCCTGGCCCTGCGCTGCAAGAGACGCAGGCACCACTGCAGCACCTGGACAGTGTCGGGGACAGCAGTGGCCGAACTCCCGGGCACTAGCACACCAGGACACCACAGGCCTTCTTGCCCCGGTCCAGGACTTGTAACTCAACCACAGGGCCCTGGGTTTCTGCAATTTCTGGAGAAGTCCCAGGTGCCTGATCAGATTCTGCTATAAGTGGCTAAGTAATACCAGCCAGGACAGAGGCCATGGGACTAAACATGAAAAAGCAATAGGGCTATTCTCACAGCTCACACACTAAGGAAAGGAAGGGGAAGAAAAGCATCTACACCCATGGGTCCATTATAAAGCTACCATCAAGCACTATAAGGCACTCAGGAGGTTGAGGCAGGAGGAAATTAAGGGCAGCCTGGGCTACACACTGAGTTCAAGGCCAGCCTGGCCCTGCCTCAAAAAAAAAAAAGCTACCATCAGTAAAAAGCGAAATTCCAATGTTTTGCATGATTCTGTTTAGTGCCCCAGATGCCATCTACTGGTATTAAGTGTGAAACCCTACTGTGAGTGATCAGGGATAATATGGTTATTAAAAAGCAAAAGTCAACTTTATCCCAGTCTTTTCATACTGGAACGCTGCTGTCAGGAAATAAATCTATAAAACCAAGTGAGATAAAACGGCACTGGAGAGCAGATGGCAGTACACCGGCCCCAACACAGTGTGGCATTGCCTGCCCGCCGGGAACCCCCGGGACAGTCCCGGCCAGGACACCACCTGCACGGCCGCGGGTGCCACCTCAGAACGAGGACGGGCCCTTACCAAAGTCGGTGTGGCTGCTCATCCATCCGATGGCTTTGAGAGACACCAGCGCCAGCAGCCCTGAGCCCACGAAGGAGCCGACGCCAGAGAAGAAGAAGAACAGGCCCATGATGGCACTCTGCATGGACTTGGGGGCGGCTGAATACGCAAACTCCAGGCCTGGGGAAGGAGAAGGGGCGCAGGGTGGCAGGGCACGGTGTTCTCGCAGGTCCACCCCACCCACCGCAGCAGCCAGACAGCCCAGGGAAGCCCCGCGCCTCAGGCTCAGGTGCTCACACAGCTCTGAGAGCTGAGCTCCTTCTGGAGTCCGTTAAGGAAACAAACTTCTCTCGTCTTAAGGAGTGGGACTTTGAAAATCAAACACACTAAAGTGGGAAGTCCACTTAAGAATTCTATTTTAAGACAATTTCAGCAGGTCCACCATCCAGCCCAGGTTCCTAGAGGGAGTGGAAGAAGGCCCATCTGCCATGGTGGACTCCTGCAAACCCCTCAGCTTCCAGGTGAGCTCCCCCATCCCTCACTGCCTGTCCCTGCTCTCTCCAGCAGCCGGCAGCAGACCTGCCCTGAAACACGTGCCATACCACGCTGCTACAGAGCCTCCTACAGTGACAGGGGCCTGCAACAACTCTGAGGCTCACACATGCTCTTCCACCAGTCTCCGCTTGGGGCAGGAAGCTGGGGGTGTGAGAGGGCCTGAAGCCCAGGCCAGGCAGAGCCCACCCTGCTCTTTCTTTCTTCCCTGAGGCACCTGGAAGGCAGGTAATGATTCTCATGGAAATGTTTCTGGGAATACGATTTTTCTATCTAAAAAGCGTCCTGTCACACTGGGTTAGCATGCACTTATGAATCCACATCCAAACTGCAGGAGAGCAGCGCCTGTCGCCTGTCCCCGCAGCTGCCCCAGCCTCGGGGCTGCCCCGAGCAGTGGCTCACCTGCGATGCTAGCAAACACTTCGCTGATGCCGATGAGCACATACTGCGGGACCTGCCACCAGATGGGCAGGTCTGCGGCGTGGTAGATCACATGGCCGATGGTCTGGTTGATGATGGGTTTATCCTTAACAACGTCCAGCCTTTTGCTTTCCAGGATTCCTAGAATTCAAAAGGGACCAGAACGGTATTTATTAACACTTCTGGTTCAGAGAACGAAGTGCCTGCTGCTAGCTCTTCACTGGTGACTCTTGAGATGCTGAGAGGGTGGCGGCCCAAGGATCTGCACTGCTTGTCAGTGCTCCCAAGACACATCTGACCGTGCTCCACTGGTGCTCTTTGCAGCACCCCACGGAAAACACTCCACGTTTACTTTCTGGCCTGTCATCCTTTCGTGTCTTTCACAAAGGTGAGGAAGGACACCCGCTGGGCGCAGAAAAGCCCACCACAATCCCGGTCCTCGGGGGTAGGAGGGTCACCCAAGCCAAGACACAGTGAGACCCCACTGTAAAATTATCAGAAAAATAATAGGAAATTATTAGAAAAATTTAAAAAAACCAAACAAGAATTAAGGTATAATGGGGCCGGGGATTTAGCTCAGTGGTACCACGCCTGCGTCACAAGCACAATATCTTGAGTTCAATTCCTGATACCACCCGAAGAAGAATTAAGGTGTGACAAGTACAAGGACCAACTCCCAACAGGGAATGGAATCAGTATGTGCTGTGAACATGTACTAGTAACAAAGCACAGCTTTCTTTCTGCACTGTAAACACATAATATTTTTTTAAATGTTCCTTTTAAAAGCTGAGTACAAGAAAGAACCAAAATATGACAACACAGAAACAAGAAGAAAAACTCTGGAATATGTGCTCCAAAAGACCCCTCATTTGAATGTGGGTGGGCAGGGAGACAGCCTCAAGAAGCCCTGTAGGGCACGCGACAGACAGGAGCAGAGGGCGCAACCCGAACCCTGGACAGGCACAGACACACAGACACAGTCCACGCAGAGGTCTTGGCTGCTCTGGAGAGGGCCCTGAGGGGGTCTGTGTGGCTCGGGGATGTCACAGTGAAGGCTGTGCAGACAACGGCCCATGAGCAGTAGCCGCTGCCTCACCACCCCCACCTGGACGGCAGCCTGGACGGCAACAAGCCCAGCACAGCGCTGGCAAACTTGGGCCTGAGAGGAAGACCACCACCTGCTTGGGGAATAAACACTGAAGCTGGGTAAAACCCTCCTGCCTCCCAGAAAGCAAAGACAAAGTTAAGGAAAAAATAAAGAGTGCGGGGGTGGAGGCTACCGGTGGACACAATCAACAGGCACTGCACCACGAGAGACGACGGCCTGGGTCAGCAAGGGCAGAAGTCACAGACAGTACCTGCTTCCGGTCTCACCACTGTCCTCAAGAACCGTGACTGTCAGACAGCGGGACAAGCAGCCACAAGTGAGATCAAGACTGAGAGATGAGAGAACAGTCAGGAGGGGACACAGTCCCAGAGAGACTGCGACATCACTGGTGGAAAGAGCCCCTTCTTGGACTGACTGAGGGCTCCCAGGGAGCAGGGGACCCAGGGGCAACAGGGATCAGACTCAGAGATGGAAAGACAGCGAGACCGCCCACACCGAGCTCTGGACACCACTGGCCAAGTCCTCCCTGTAAAGGTTCCTCAAACCAACAGACCGCATGTGGAGGGGACAGAAAGCAAATCAAACATGGCCACAGGTGATGGAAATCAGGCTACTGTGAGCCAGGAAGAAGGCACAACAGGAACTCTGAGGAAAGAAGAATGAAGACAGACATGCTGAACACAAAGAGGCCTCCTGGAGGAGAGAGTCCCCTGCTCGCGGCCTTGCTGTGGCCCGAGACTCCAGTAATCTGGAGGGGAAACTAACCAGGCTCCCTGAGCATGAGGAGAAGGGCTCCCACAGCCAGGGCCGGGCTCCAGGCAGGGCTGGAGTGGCCCCGCCTGAGCCATTTCCCTCCTGGGCCACCAGGGCCACACCGAGTGGTTCAGAGAAAGAACCCAAGCCACACGAGCTGGGGCAGCCCAGTTCACCCTCCTGGAGACCAGCAGGCAACAAAGGTAAGGCTTTCTTCGGCACAAAGGCTACAAACCAGAGTCCGACAGTGCAAACCCAGGCCCAGACTGAGAAGCGACAAAGAACTCTTGAGGCAGTTTGGTCCACAAAGGACTCTGAGCTGGACAGACACAAAGAGCCACGTCTTCAGGATCCTTGCCCAGCAGCTGGTTCTTGAATGTGCCCGGACCCCAGGCCTGCTGCCAACACTGGAGTCCAGGACCCTGCTCTGAGAGACCTGAGCTGGCTCAGAGGAGGCTCTGGGCTATGTCCCTGGGGCTGGGGCAGGAGCCTGATGAACACAGCAAGAGTATGAAAATAGACAGACCTTTTTACTTGGCTGCCTGCAAACTTTCCGTAAAGGAAGCCTCAAAATACCCAGGAATTAATAAAGCCACCACAGTTCCCAACTCTCCAAGGTGAGCCATCAGTAACAAAAGCATAAACATCTGTATCAGTAGATTAAAGATTCTATTATTAATTCAGATCAAAAAGGAACTCAGAATGAAACTTCAATTTTCGTAGAAAACAACACAGGGACACAGTTACATGCTACGTAGTCAAACAGTAGTCACTCCCAAACTTTAGCACTAAATATCTTTTTACTGTTAAACAGGAAAGAATAAATGGAAGAAGACGAAAAACTTAATTTAATAAATGACAAGGAAAACTAGGAAAGAAGTACAAGGTGATAAAAAGTGTCTTAATTATTCAATTAGGAAATAGGAGCTTTAAAAGGGTACAAAATTTCAGTGCCTTAGAAAAGAAAACATAGTAACAGCCAAATTGAATTCAAGTGATCCGTCTACAGAAACAATGTAAAACGCACAAGACCAATAATAAAGTGCAAATGCATAAATCCAGAAACGAGAAAGGAAACAAGGATTTACTTCAAAGATTTTTTTTATTTTTATGTTTATTCTAATACACTTTCTGAAGACTCAAGAAAAATGATTTAAGACTTAAAAAAAACTTAAGTGACTCATGAGAAAACAAAATCTGCACAGAATCAGAGAACAGATTCAAATGTACCCAGCAGAGCACTTCTGGAGGTCAACAAGGGGTCCGGAACACAGGGACACCCTCTTCTCAAGGTGCTCGCTGCACCCCTTCCTTCACAGCCCTGACACCCGCAGTTAGGAAGCATGGGCATGGGCTGGCAGAGTAAGGTCAGCAGAGTCCTCTGTAACCGGCATCAGGAAGTAAGGTAACAAAAAGTCCAATACAAGCAGGTGAAGGAAAAGTAACCCGAGAAAACCCATATTCCTTCCAGCCCAAGTCCCAGAAAAACTGGAGCTTGGGTGGGAGTCTCATGTCACCAGTTTCCCTTTCACACCAGCCCAGCTGCTGCAGGCACCCTCGAGGTAAGTGTGACACCAACACGGGAGGGAGTTCTAGAAATTTTAGCCTAAACTTCACAGAGATAATAGAAAAAAGAGGGCTGCAATTATCATGAAGGCAGGAAAAGAAACTACATTTGAATATTATGAGGAACCTTTTGCAAATAAATCACTAACCTCATCAAATTTTGAAAAATACCATGAAAGCAATCATAAATACATAAAATAGGACCCTAACACAGATAAAGAAATCTAAGAAACTTTGCAAGCTATGATAAATAAAAAGGAAAATGAAAATACTTGGAAAAATATCTCACAATAGGACACAAAACTCACAGTACACAATTTTTAAGGGGAAAAAAATGAAAGCTAACAAATTCACATACTTCTCTTTTCCTTAAATTGAACTGACCAGAAGAAGCTCTTTTAACCTGCCTGACCTTCATCCAAGCCTTCCAGAGAAAGAGTGTGCACTCGGCCCTGCCAGTTGTCTCTCCTCAAGCCCAGGACCGCTCCCCAGGCCTCTGGACAGAAGTGCAGCCGTAGGGAGCACGGGCAGTCCGCAGGCCATCGCCCCAGCTCTGGGGAGGCTGAGGCAGCAGAGTCACAAGTCCAGTGTTGGCCTGGGCCATGTGGCAAGTTCAAAGCCCACGTAACTACACAGTGAAACCCTGCCTCCAAAAACACAGAAACATGGGCAGCTCTCCTTATTAAGTGTGCTCTGGGCAAACTACAGGTTATTTACACTCTTCCCAAGCACTGACAGTGAGCCGAGCGCTTTCCTAACATGTGGTGCCTTGGCAAGACACGCCGTGACACACCCTGCTCATACCACTGGGCTCCACCTTTCCTCATTCCGCCATACTCGTCACAGGGAAGTGACAGAAATCCAAGTCACTCCTCTGCCCTGGGTTCTGCACAGCTGTAGAGAAACTGGGGGTGGGGGGTGGACCTCTCAGGGCAGCCACTGGGGAAACTGAAAGCAAAGGCGGCAAGGAAGAGCCCACATGCGGAAGCCAGGTCGCACCTCCCAGGGACACTGTCCCCAGGGAGACAGGGAGCAGCCTGGACCCAGGGCCACAACCTCTGGCAGCAGGGCCTCTCCTCCAAAACACTGGCCCACAGCGATCCAGTTCCTACTTGCTCTCCTCATTGCCCTGAGTGTCCCCAGTCTCTCCGGGACGAGACTGAGGGGCAGACAAGGAACACAGCACAAACTTCCTCCATACAAACCTCACTCTAATCGCCAGTCTTCTCACATCTGCACTCCTAGAAGATGGATGTCAGAAGCTGAGGGACTAACTTCTCTGGGCCTAGCAAGCACCACTCCAGCATTCACTCTCTAGGCGAGGGGCAGGTCTGAAAACCCAGGAGAACGCAGGCACTCCGAGCCGCTGCACATGACACCAAGCTCCTCAAAACCGCAGCTGGCATGGGGCAGATTCTGGAGCAGTGCTTCCAAATATTAAGGAACAATTCCAAAGCAAGCTAAAAAGGAAATAATACTTCTGCTCCCCCATTTTGGTAATGAAGACTGAACCCAGGGCCTTCCCAGAGACCTGAATCCCAACCCTTTTCGTGTATTTTGAAACTGGGTCTCACTAATAGGTGGGCTCAAACTCATGATCCTGCTGCCTCAGCTTCCCAAAGTACTGTGATTGCAATCATGCGCCACCATCCTCAGGTAATACTTCAGATTTACCAGCAAAAGACAAATTAATATTTCAGAACATAAAAATTATGAAAACAGAAAGTAATTTCTCAAAAGGCTCGCTCCCCTTGGGGTGCATGGATATCAGGAATCAGGTTCTGCCAGGCGTGCTGGTCTGGGGAGGGGAGGTGCTGCCCTCTCAAGCCCAGAACAACCTTCATTCCCAGGAGACACACAAGAAAACCACATTCAAAACACTGCAAGATCCCGGGCATCCTGGGCTGACTGACAGACCTTCCACAGCGAATTGTAAGGTGCAATTCTCACTTTGAACACTTTCATTCACATTCCATGCACTCGGCCTGGGTCCTGCACAGCTACAGCAGCAGCAGAAACCCAGGTTCATTCACTCTGAAAGGCATCTCAGTGCATCTCCGAGGTTTCAATTCTAAAAGAACAAGGACAATGGGGTCCTTGGGAAGAAAGTATCCACTCAGCAGTGAGAAACCAGAGGAGGAACCAGCGCTGCACCAGCCTCGGGGACACCCTGGGGTCCCTGCCCACCCAGGCCCCGGGGCAGAGGACTGAGCAAAGGCTGCTCACCCGCGGCGAAGGCCGAGCACATCATGAAGAACATGCCCACAGCGATCCTCTTCAGGGAGGACGGCAGCAAGCCGTGCCTTCTCAGGACCGGGTCCACCAGCTTGTCCTTGAGCGGGATGAGCAGGAGGATGAGCACGGCATCGAACATGGTGAGCCAGGCGGCCGGGAACTGTGGGAAGAGGGCTGAGTTGAGGGCACCACTCACCGTGACAGACACCTACCCAGAGAGAGGCACAGAGACAAAGACATCTCCACATGCGTGTGCACCTGTTTTCCTGTACTTTAAAGGGAAAGGCAGAGAAAACGCTCATCTGTGTTTAATGGATGCCAGTTAACCCAACCTAGTCAATGCTGTGACGGCTGGAGAAATGCGCTCCCCAGGACGACAATGTGCCTCAGTGACTGCTCTGAGCTCGCTCGCCAGCATGGACTAATGGTGCTCAGGCCTGCAGCAGGCAGAAGTGACCTATCTGTCCCCAAGCCCTGCCGCCCAATTCCGCTTGGTGCGAGGGCTCTTACCGTGTGTGGGGTGGTTGTGATGTTTGAGATTTCCGGAATCTTCAAGTGAAGACTCTGCAGGACATACGTGGTCTGCATCTGGGTACAGGAAGTGGAGTCAGGGCATCCCACCTTCCCAAGACAGCAGCACGTGCCCCACCCTGACGGACCGAGGGACTCGGTAGGGACACAGCCATTATGTGGTCACCACAAACTTTCCTGGAGATCAACTAACTACCAGTTAGCCAAACGAGAAACTAAAGGGAGAGGAGGGCCTGGCAAACCAGGAGCACACCCACTCTTAGCTTCTGCTCAGAAAGGTTTTCAAAATATTTGAAGGCCAATACTAAAAACAAAAATTCCAAAATCTGAAGAGATTCTGAAGGGAAACCTCTGAGCCCCAGGAGCTTGGCTAGCAGTGCTGAGAAGCACTTCCCAGAAGAACAAGGCAAGGCGACTGGCACAGCCCCACTCACTTGGAAATACACTGTCCAGTAAGGGATCAGAGCCAAGAACACAGGCACGATCTTGACCAGGGCTTTGACATCTTCTACTTTGTCTTCTGTGAATGGCCCTCCGTGAGACATCTTACATGAATCAAACAGACTTTGTTTAGAAGGTTGCTGAAAGACTCCAATGCCTTCACTTTGGGAAACAAAATGAAGGAATTAGTTTTCTTCCATCCTCAGCAATCAATTTTCTGGTAACAAATTAAGTTTGGGGGTAGGAAACCAGCCCACTGAACTGAATCTGCCTAACTCCTTCTGGGGCTTTCTAACTGCAGACATCAAACACAGCTCCTGGAGTTATTCCTAAGCACTGTAGGACGGAGGATCTCAGTGTGGCTGTGACCCCAGGGAGCAGGAAGACTCAAGCTGATGCAGGGCACGGCTCATGGGCTCAGGGCTGACCACACCGCCAGTTTTGGCTAAGGCTTGTGCAAATCTGCAACAGCTCTTGACTGGGACCTGGGCGAAAGACTGCACTTGACTGGATTTTCAGTTAGCTACACAAGCACCAAGGCTGACAATCAATGGCAACTTGCTAGGCACCGCCATGCTGGCTCACTGGGAATGCAGCCATCCTTCCTCACAGCAAGGGAGGGCCGAGGCAGCAAAGCAATGAGCAACTTGCAGTAGTCACTAAGTGCTCCCTCGGTAACCCTGACTACAGCCCGGGTGTTAAAAGCCTTACTGGCCCATTTCACAGAAGACAGCAGGGCAAGGAGAGGGAAGGAAATGTGCCATGGTCACAGCATTCAGAGGGGAGCCAGAATCCAAATCAAGGCTTCAGAGCAGCAGCCGTGAGCACCGCAGGGCGCCCCAACCCTCACAGCTGAGAGTCACAGTCCAGATGACACTGTGCCCTTGGCTCTCCCCTGACTCGTTCTTTATGAGATGAGTAGGAACTGCCTGGAGACAGTGACTCACCAGGGAAGCAGCTGCTCATTCCGGCTGGGGGAAATGGCGACTGTCACCGTCCTAGTCTATAAACCCACGTTCCTCTTTAATAAGGGCCCTATTTTAAATTATTTTTTACCTTCCAAACTCCTATCTTTAACCTGGACTTTGGGAGTGGGAGGATAAACAATGAGAATTTTAAGCCATACTTCAGTGAAGAAAACTAAAAAACCAAACGAGCAAGTATTAAGAGAGTACTGATTTATATGCTCACTGCTGTTCTTACTGGGTGGGGAGATAATGGAGGACGTTTTTAAAGGACCTGCTTCCTGTTCTTATGAGCCAAGTCTAGGAGAAAATAATCAGATAAAAAGAAACACGGAAAAGTCAAATTCTACATTCAAAAGATATTATTCATATTTTATTTGAAAACATTTCCCTCTTTAAGATACTACTTTTCCTTTTTAAAAACAAATCTAAAGTCCTAATAAACTTTATGTGGACAAGTACTGGGTGATTTACTACATCATGCTAAATATGTGCTTCCCTAAAAACATTTAAATGCCAAATAACAAATCTATCTCGCACAAACTACTAACTGCTTAATTTCGCTTCCTATCATTCACTGCTGCAGGACTGCTGAGTCAGTCTGCCCTACAACTACCTCCTTCACGCGTGGGCTTAGCGTGCCACTCTGCGTCACAGCGTGAGGCCCGACGCAGAGACATCAGAGCACAGATGGGAGCACACTGCCCCTCCCGTGCGTGCTGGGTGTCCACACTGCGGTGAGGGGCTGTGCGCAAGATGCTGCTCCCAGGGCAAAGCCCCGAGAACCCCAAGACCCCACTCAAGGGGTACGGTCTGGGGAAGCTCTGGGCTGTCCACTCCAGTGCGAGGGAGTGACTCATGAACCTTCAATCCTCTAAAAACCAGTGTGGTGTCTGCCCCAGAAGAGCTCAGTCCAAACAGGGAGCCAAGGCTGGGCAGATGAAGTGCAGAGCAGCACACGTGGGGCCTGGGGACACTGCACTTCCCGGGCCCCAGAAGGCCTCTCCGGGCTTCCCCGGCTGACCAGCCAATCTGAGGCACTGCAACAGCCTCGAACCTGGCATGGGTCCTGTGAGACCCGCTGTCTACACTCTGTAAAGGGAAGGGCGTGGCAGGGTCCTGAGCCTGCCGAGCTCACACAGATGGTCTCAGGAGCACTGCAGTCAACTGCTAGCCCCTCTCCTTATCCATGCCCAAGATGACTTCCAAAATAAATCTATAGGAAACCAGCTACTAAGTAACAGAAGCTCTGGACCCTGCTTCCTGCAACAGCACTTGCTATCTTTGAGACAGCACATTCTCCTGCAGAAGTCTAGGAGGCAGGACACAAACAGACCTCGAGGGCTGGTGAAAAGCTCTCCCTCCCAGTGGTAAACATCTAGGCTCACACACTACTTCTGCCTGGTCAGGACTGAGGTTCTGGCGAAGTATCAGTGTCTGCCAAGCAGGGAAACTTGAATTTTTAAAAAATTTCAATTGCCTCATGACTCACAGTTTAGAGTTATGGGTCTAAAGACCATACTGACCCCTGCAACTGACCCCCAGCACATCCACTGGGAAGGTTAGTCTGTCAGACTGCCCAGAGCGATCAGAGGCTACATCCTTGGCAAAACTAGCCACGCTCAGGAGCTACCGTGGCAAAGCTGCAGATCGATGGTGCCCAAGGGCGCTGGACACATCTGCTGAGAGTTGGCTAAGTGTGGGCAGGCACAGCCAGCCAGGGTACAGCTCGGCCAGCAAACACAACAGCAACAGGGCATACTGACAGGAGCAGGCGGGAAGCAGCAGTGGACAGGTGGGCATCTCCTGCTCAGCGCCCCCTGAGCCTGAGGCTGATTGAGGCATCTGAGAGGCAAAGGCCCACACAGGTCCCAGGACTCCCCATGGCGGGCCCTGGGCACCGTGACTGCACTAGTTGGGACACCCCCTGCGTGACAGTTGCACTGCCAGAAGAGATGGATTCCACTCTTACATGATGTACATGTTAGGTGTACATCAACCGGTAAGAAAAGCCTTTGCACTCTCTGGTACCTGGCAGGGCCACAAAGAGTCACAATCTGCTGGGACTTGGAGGGGTTCCCAGACCCAGGACTCTGTTCTAAACCTCAAGTCCACACGATCTCATTAGTAACACTGGGCGAGTCTCCCACAGACAGAGGAGCCTGGCTCACCCAACTGTACCTTGCAATTCTGCTGCCAAGACCTTGTGTCTAAAGGCAATTGCAGTGGCTCCTTGCTACTGAGCCCCAGCGGCCCACAGAGAGAGAGGCTGCAGACTGCTTCTGAAATACAGGCATTGCTTGGCTTCTACTAATGCATTCAACACCATGTATAAAGCACAAACTATCTCCCCATGCCCTCTGCAAAGTCTTATCTGCACAATCGGCCTCCGGGCAGCAGCAGCTCCCAGCTGCACTGGTAGAGAAAAGCAGCTGGGTGTGGAGGACAGGAGCGAGCATTCTGGAGCCTGTGAGGGGCTAACTACACTGCCTCGGGAATCACACTGAGTGAACATCGGATGTGGAAACCTTGGGTGGCCAGGGCATGGGGCTGGGATTGAGTACAGTGACTGATGAGTCCCCCAAACGGTGTGCAAGGAGAGCAGAGCACTTACCTGCTGCTGATGTGTGCTGCCCGGCGCTTCTGGGAGCAGCATGAGTAGGCCAAAATCCTGAACATGTCAGTGAAGGCACTGCCATCCGGGCGTTTGCTGATGAAAACGCTCTGGCCACAGAGGAAAACCACAAAAGCAATGGCCACACACACTGTGGGGATGAGGTAGCCTGAGAAGAAGCTCAAGTTCTGCTGCACGTAGGCAATGGCTCCTAACGAAAGGATGGCTCCCAAGTTAATGCTCCAGTAAAACCAGTTAAAAAATCTCCTAGTGGCCTCAGGACCTCGGTCTTTGACCTAAAATAATAGGGAGGAAAAATACTTGAAAACTCGTATTATCTTTCATTTTCTTTTTTGGTGCTAGGGATCAAATATAGGACCTTCTGCTTGCAAGGCAGACTTTAATTTTCTCTTTCCCTTCTTTTGCTTTAGACAGGTCTCACTGTGAGACTCAGTGGCCTCAGCCTCCAGAGGAGCTGGACACCACCACCAGCAGTGGCGACCATCCTGGGTGAGAGCACAGGGACGCACTTGCACAGTCCGCTGCTAGCAGCTTGAGAAACTACATGAGGAAATGGTGTCTTGGCTACGTTAACGGGTTCCAGACAAGAGCACCCTATACTGGTTACTACAGATGCGAAAGCCAATAAATCCCACAGGACTCCAAGCACACACTGCTGGCCTGCCTTGGGCTACTCTGACTGAGTCAGGAACCTATCCAGGCCTCCCCAGTCACCCTCTCCGGGGCAGGGCATGCCAGACGCTGGCATAATAAGCAGCCTGTGATGCAAAGCAACTTCCCGGCTGACTGCTGCTCACTGCACACCTCCAGAGCTCCAACCCTTCTGAGCTGCATCCAGCAAACCGGCTCAGCCTCAAAGGAAGCAATGGGGAAATCTGTATCTGGGCTGGAGACTCTGATAAGCCTGAATCAAACAATTACCAACCAAAACTAAACCCACAGCTGTTTTTAGATTAGAAAGGTTATAAAAGAAATGAGAAAGAATTCTGATGGGTACAGCCATTCCAAAGGGCTCAAAACTCACAAACTTCCTGGACTCAGGCGATCAACTGCAAGAAGGATCACAAGGCAGCTAAGACCCCCAGGCCTACTTCCCTGAGAGTCCCTTCCCACTGGCTTCATCCTCTATGGGTACTGCAAGGGTGGGCCCGGCCCAGCCACAGACATCTCTGTTGAGTTTCACTTCATGAAATCTGTTGTGGCCAACTCAACAGCTAGAGCAGACAGAGGACCTCATAAAAACAGTCTAGTCTAGTTCTGCGGTCTCAGGAACATCCACTGTCTGGCCTGACCTCACCTGGTACAGTAAAGGTCAGAACATTCCTGGTTTCTGATCCACAGCAATTTGCTCTACCAAAGGCCAAGGCTTACGTGAAACTGAAACAACCGCATGTAACATGCAATGAGCATCTCTGTAGCAGTCCTACCACTTTAAGACTACATAGGGGTAAAAAATATAGTCAAAATTGAGTGCTCCTCAAAATTTACTATTTTCAAGTCAAAACGATATGCATTCCTACCATGTTGGCAAGTAACTTGTTTCTTCTTTTTCTTGCTACTGGGGATTAAACTGAGGACTGTATGCTTGCCAGGCAGGCGCAGCACCCCTGAGCTACATCCCCAGCCCAAGTAAAAGGTCTGAGTGAATGACATGGTTATGGTCATGACAGGCTGAAAATGTGAGTATCAGATGCGCCATACCCTCTCAAGAGCTTCAGTTTCCCCCCTGCAAGTCAGTATAAAACAGAGTCCTTACACCAAACACTGGCACTGTCACTCAACAGACGTCTGTGCCGAGAGCTTCTTAGACACTTGACACAATGCTTTTACGTGCTACCTCACTGTGGGCATCAACGCTTGGGCAGCACTGCAGACAGACCAGGAGAAAGACATGTACAGAAAAAACATAATTAATATTACACATTAAGAAAAAAGCAGTCACTGTTCTGATTTCAAAGAGAAGGTGGAGACTAGTAAACACTTGTGAACCTAAGGGAGCCTGGTTTATGTTTTCCCGAAGCACATCCCTCGTGTCTGTTATTCACGGTGCCAGCGCTGCTGCACGCATCTTCCCATCTCCTCAGGCATAGTCTCCTTCAAATGAAGGAAGAAAAGGATTTACAGTCAGCCAGCCTAGCAGACTTCTAACCCTAAAATTCCACTCCTCCTCTTTTCCTGAGAAAGCCTGGAAGTGGGCCGATTAGGTAACCACGGCGGCCACCTCTGCAGCAGGCAGAACCGGCGCCTGATGGGCACATCACATGCCTCTGCCTCAGCCAGCAGCTGGGCCAGCCTAAGTCAGCCACATTACATCACTGTGCAAGCAGCTGCTGCCCGCCCAGCAAGAGTGAGCAGCTCTTCAAGTGGCTGGTCAAATGGCACCCAGGAAATCCATGTGGAGAAGTAAAGCTGAAGGACATAACAGTTGTCGGCCTTGGAGAAATTCCTTAAAGCGCACAAGAGCACAATTTTTTCCTTTTAGGAAAAAATGCGCTATTTGCTCTCTTTATCTTTGCAGTAAGTTTTTCCTCTTTCCGATCACCATAAAAAGGCAATGCATAAAAAGAATGAAGATGCGCACACGATGAATGTGGTGATTATGTGCTGCAAATCGGTGCTAATAAAAGTGCAAAGGGAAAACACTAGATCCATCCATCAAGACCCACTGCTCCCTCCAAGAAAGGTTAAGCTCTGGGGTGCCAGATTGGCTAGGCTCACATCACCCTCACCTCTGGGCTTCACATCCACTTCAAAAGCCACCAGCCTTCCTTGCCCCAAAGCTACATTCTGACCCCTCTCAGAGCCCCCCGTGGAGAAGAGGCAGCATCCACGACAGATTCCCCCAAAATACGGATTCCCCAAGGTAGAGCAGGGGAACCAGGCCTCCCCAAGCACCCAGCACCTTGGGACAGGGATAAGGAAGATGCCTATGAACCCCCTTGAAGCCCCCAAGGACCTGGCAGGAAACACAAAGCCTGGTATTAGGGCACCACACCCCACCCACTGACTTCTGTGGAGCGACAGTTTACACAGCAGGTCATTTACCCATGAGGCGTGGCCAGCAGCTGCTGTGCATCACGAGCAGGACATCTGTCGCGGCCACCCCGTCTGCAGTTACTCCCGGCCTGCCTGGCCAGCGGCAACCACCAGCCTCCTGTGGCCAGGACAGATGCACACACGGGAGGCTCTGGCCGGCTGTCTGCCCCTCTGGGGTTCTCAAGATTCACCAGTCCTGAGTTTTCCACTGAACCATGTATCAGTGTGTGCAAATGCGACACCCAGCTCATCATTCAGCAGGTGACAGATAGCCCCAGATTTTTTCATTTCAGAAAACCTCAAACTGAACACAAAAGTTCAACGAATCATAAACACATACTCTATGCCCCTGATTTAAAGCTTTAGCTTTCTTTTTTTCTGATAAAAATATAAAATATTTTTGGCTGAACTACTTGAAAATAAGTTGTTGCATCTTATTTGCCACCAAGATTTCATCATCCGAATCCTAAACCTAGACAGCCTTTCAGTCACGGGCCATCACCAGACCCAAGCGAGGCAATATTAGCACAGCACCATCCACTCAAGTGCCCAGAGAACAGCTTTAAGAAAACAACTGCAGCCAATCCCATAGCATGTGTGACGCCTGGATATCAGGTCTTTGCATCCTTCCAGCAAGAAGGCCCGCTGTACAATGATGCTTTGAGTAAAGAGGCCAGTCCACTTCCTTCAACTCCACATTTAATTATGAATCAAAAGCATGTAAATTCTATCAGATCCATTCAAAATAAAGATAACTACCACAGGGTCATTCACTGTTTTAAAAATATTAATTGGGCTGGAGACTCAGCTCAGCAGCCAAGCCTGTGCCTGGTGTGCACAAGGCCAGGTTCAATCCCCAGCACCTGCAGAGTGGGGATGTTAATACAAATCTATTACGTTCTGGAGAGCACCAGCTTTAGTCAGACTGGCTGGGTCCCAAATCCACTCTCCTGCACCCTTGCTGAGCAACCCTTTGGCTGTGACAGGGGACACAATCACAACATGAACCCAGTGAAGCACTGTGAGGCGGACGCCAGACTGTGTGGGGAATGCAAGGTAAGGGGCTCCACGTGACCCCTCAGACTGCAAGGGAACGGCACGGTGTGGCCTTCCCTTTAGAAGATGGAGAAGGAATGTGTTCTCCGCCCTGTACCAGAGCTGGGCCTGCAGCTGAGGGCAGTGAGGCCAAGGCCATTCACCTGGGCCTGGAGGTCCAAATTGGGGAGCCATCACAACACACACGTACGTGTACAGCCCAGTAAGGTGCAGTGGTAAAACATTAAGAAACCAGGCCTGGAATAAAAGCCTGTTTTAACCAGTCACTACCTATAGGACAGGAAAATGGCCTTTCTGTGCCTCCATTTACCCACCTGCAGGGCAGACTTGAGACTCACGCTTGGCTCAAATCGCACATGACTGTACAAAGGAAACAGTGCAGAGCTCAGCACATCACACAGCCACTGTACCACTGCTCTCCCCACTCTCACTGTCAGCCTTACGCCTACTAGGGGAAGCTCAGGTCCAAGGGCAAGCTTTCCCTTTAACATCTCAGGCCTCACTTTCCGAATCTGTACAGTGAGGTGTCTTGTGGGCTGAACAAGCGCTCAGCGCGGGGCCTGGTGCACAGGAAGCCCCCAGCAAAGGACAGTGCAGAAACTGACTCCCGAGGCTTACAACAAACCCACCGACACTCCCCAGCACCCTACTTCTGCAGCTCCCAGCCCCTCCTCGCTCTGTCCACGCTTCCTCTCTGGTCCAGGCTGATTCTCACCGGATCTGTGTTGTCTCCATGTGCCATAAAACACACACTCCACCACGGGCCCTCATCTTTCTCTGAGGAGGGGCAAGGAGCTGGTTTTTCAGGTTCTGTGAGGCACTTGGTCTCTGTAATGACTGAGTTCTGCCACAGCTGGGTGAAAGCAGCTCTAATCCAGGGGACAGGTGAGCGGAGGTGGGCCCCACTGCAACCCAGTCAAGTTTTATTTACGGAGACTGAAATCTGCATTTCATAAAATCTGCACTTGCCACAAAATACTCTACAGATTCCAACCATTTACAGATGTAAGAACCACTCGGCACGTGAGTCCTCAAAAAACAGAAGTAGATCTAATTTGGCACCCAGGCCAAACCATTTCCTTTCCCCTGGGACAGTCTGGATGGCTCCTTCCGCATTTCGGCCATGGTGGTTCACAGCAGCTGCCTGCCGCTACCTTGTTTCCCACACTCCACACATGGGACCTTTCCCAATCCCTCTGAAACAATAGCTGGATGCTACTAGGATGGATGGGAGCTTTCCTTTGTTTTCTGGCCCCAAAAGCTCTGCGCTTGTTAACCCCCCTATAGGGAAACCATGTTTTTGTTTTTGTAGTACTGGGGATGGAACCCAGAACCTCTCGTTGTCAAGCAAGCAGCCTGGAGCGGAGCTGCATCCCCAGACCTTTTTATTTTGACCCAGGGTCTCATCAAATTGCCCAGGGTGGCCTCGAACTTTCAATCCTCCTTCCTCAGCCGCCCAAAGAGCTCCAATGCGTGCTACTTTCAATCTTTTCTCTCCTTCAAGCCTCAACTCAGATGGCCCCTCCATGGAGAGAAGTTTCTTCCCGCTCGAGCGAATCCAGGCCATCACCGCGTGCGCGGCCAGGAGACTGACACCTCAGCAGCTCCTGTCACACCGGTCTCCACTGCCTTTGTCCGCAGGCTCCAGGGCTCACTCACAACCAGAAGGACGCGCCCAGGAGCTACGGCTCCCCATGTCTCCCACTGGCGTGGGAGCAAGCGCAGGGTGCAGGGTGCGCTGCTCCAGGGCTTTCTCCTCCAACTGGAAAGAGGCCCAGAGGCCGGAGCTCCGCATCGCCCCTCCCCGCCGCCGCGCTAGGTCCAGGTGCAGTGGGCGGGGCGCAGCTCACCTGGTCGGCGCCAAAAGGCGTGATGTTGGACTTGACGGTGGCCAC